TGCACATTGACTGTTGACTGCTGCACATGCTGCTCCCATCCAGCATACATTCTGTTATTATATTCTCTTATATATTTTTATTATATTGCTGTATTTGCTGCTTAAAGTGCCTTAGATTTTGTGTTACTTATTTATCTACTTTATATTTCATTTGTATTTTGTGGCATTCATGTGGACGGCAAAGTAAGAATTTCATTGTACAGGGAAACACGTTTCCTAACTGTGCATATGACAAATAAACACTTTGAACTTGAACTTCTACACCCTGACCAACAAAGGAGTTGTAAAAAATCTGATACTCACACTTAACCTCTCTACCATCATCTCCAGGTGTTCTTGCAACTGCTTGTCTTCCTCTGACTAAAATATTGAAAGAAGAGAAAACATTAATATCAAATCACACACATAAAATTAATACGAAGACTCATCCACCCCTACTGCCTCAGGCATAAAAATGTAGAGATATAACCACAAGTTTAGCTTATATTATGGTGATGGTAGTGATAATGTTTATTTTCTTATGGTGTATTCTATTCTAATTATGCATCAACACATTACACTGCCTAAAACTACTGGATGATGCATGCTGCTTCTAATCAGTATAACATGTACTGATGTTTTGAATACTTGATGTAAAATCAAGTATCCAATGGGACAAATAACGATGAAAATTTGACTTGGTGGTCTAATAACCTTGTAGATGCATGATGTCAAACTAATTTCTATTTGGTAAAACAATTAGAAGGAGAACACAAAATCGCTTAGTTTTAATACAATGTCACTTCCTTGTTACCGCAGAATATGCTACAGTGTGGTAGGTTATTTCACTTCACGAAAGCTGTTGTGTCCCCGCTGCTAGCTCTTGCTAGCTCAATATGCTAGCATTTCAGGTAGCAAAGCTAATACTGATGACAGCATGAGACAACAGCGACAACAGCAAGCTAACGATGGAGCTTATCTGCAGATTTGTAAAGGACTACATTAAATAAGTGTCAGAGTGATTGTGTTTCATATGAAAAATAATCCAAATAAAGGACAGTTACTATGTTGACTGTCTTGAATAGCTTTGGCCTGCTCAACCATGTTGTCAAGGCGGCAGTGACTAAGGCAAAATATGTCCTCTCGCTCCCTTAACGTTAATTAGTACACATTTGAATGAAAAATTACACTCGCTTACTAGTTCTTGCTCCTCTTTCTTCTCCTTATCCTTGGGCTTCTGCCCCTTTTCTTTCTCCTTCTCATCGACCTTTTCGGACTGCTTACTGTCTTTGTTTTTTGCCTCCTCCATAGTTGCGGCTCTATGAACTATCGGCTAGTAAACGGAACTGACACTGGAAAACCATGGATGATGACTGCTTCCTCGTCAATACCAAAAACGTACTATAGTTTTCCATTACCGCCCCTACTGGCATTAAATTGTTATGACTGATTATGGGTACATCAGGTCTAGCTATACATGGGAACACAAATATCATTTTTCAATATCCCAGGCTGTAATATCACTCAATTCGGCTCACTATTAGTTTTGACACACTCACAACAATAATCCACTTTCTGAGTCATACATTCCAGGTCATATTTGACAGCAAACTGTAACGTTACAACATTCAACAAAACCTGAATTTTTTTTAAATATATTTCTGAGCATTTTAAGCAAACACTTTCTCAAGTAATGTAGGTAAAGCAAACTATTTCCCCCATATTTTAAAAGTTCTATATGAGAACTTACTGAAAGTCGAAACACGCAGTATTCCAAATAAGAATTTCATATCTCCTACGCTTTGCGAGTCACTTGAAGTAGCAGACGAACTTGTCATATGACCACCTAGAACTTAATCACATGCCTCTGGCTTTTTCCTTGTTTAAACAATCATGGCATTTCAGCTGTGTGGGTTACCACTGTGTAAAATCACCTCATTTTTCCTGTTTTCTGTCTTTGCTATTGGAGACGGACACTATAAGAGCTTCGTGAAGTATAATCAGTTGCAGGATAACAAGCGGGGAGCTGCGTTTGAAGAGCAGTGGTTTATTCAGAAACTGGATCACTTCAGTGGTGCAGACACCAGAGTGTGGAAGCAAGTAAGTTTATGTGTCCTGTAGCTTTATAAGGGTTGAAATTTGTTTCTAAAACTTTAGTAAACTGATCCTGCGTGGGCTCAAGATCTCCGTGCATGTGTACGCACATATTTTATGACATATGACAAGAAATGCACCTTCTTGGCTCATTGTAATATAAGATAAAACGGACACATGGTATTTCCCAGTCAGAACTCTCTCTCCCTTTTACCACCAGAGGTACTTTATAAATGAAGCCTTCTACAAGCCAGGTGGTCCAGTGTTTCTGATGATAGGTGGAGAGGGTCGAGCAAATCCAGCATGGATGCAGTATGGCACCTGGCTCACCTACGCTGAGAAGCTGGGAGCACTTTGCTTGTTGCTGGAACATCGCTTCTATGGAAAGAGTCACCCAACGGAGTATGTTTGACATTGCTGATTTAATTCAAGACTGTATCCAAACGCACAGGAAGTAATCTCAAAATGCAGTGTTTATGGATAGGAGACAAACAGTGGCATCTAATAACGATGCTTAAAACCCAGCAGAACTAAAAATACTAAAATGAATTCCTCATGTGTTCTGAACTAAAATGTCTTCATTTATTATCAGTCAACCTATAATCAGATTTGGCATTAGAGCTGCCCACACCTTTACATGATAAAGCGGGCAGCCATTACCATCACACTCATTATGTTTGTAGTAGCAGTTTGAAATCTGGTAACTCTGGTTGCCCAATAGTATGGTCACAACCACATGACAGGTCACCAGATTGATGCTGATGAAGATGTCATACCACTAGATGGCAGCCCTGCATTCAGATAAGGGCAGTCCTGCCCAGTTGATCATGTAGTATTGGACAGACTGAATGATGAATTCTTACCCAAACTACAATTTAAAATGAGCTTTTATCATCTTTCCTTCTAGTGACCTCAGCACAGACAATCTGCGCTTCCTCAGCAGTCGTCAGGCATTAGCTGACCTGGCTCACTTTCGCACTGTGATTGGTGAGACCCGAGGGCTGACCAACAGGAAGTGGGTGGCGTTCGGAGGGTCATACCCCGGCTCGCTTGCTGCTTGGTTCAGGCTGAAGTACCCTCATCTGGTCCATGCCTCCGTGGCTACGAGTGCACCTGTTTATGCTACAGTCAACTTCCCAGGTATGCACACACATGTAGCCCTAATTCATGCCACTCATGTTTTGGATGATCAAAGTTTTATGCCAGACTTGATTTAAAAACTGGGAACTTAAGTTAGATTTGCTGTCATGAAACAAAGTAAAAACATTACTTGAAATCAAATGGTATGTTTCACAATCAAATTCAGCACATAAACCACACTAATTTGTTTGTAATCTGTACAGTGTGCTCCAGAACTTTCTGTTAAAAAGAACTGTCCAACAGTTCTCCAGTTTTGAGTCCTAGAGGTGAGAGTCCCAGACAGATCAGAGATGGGGAAGGGTTCATTCTGTATCAGTGTTGTGTTTGGCTGAGGCATTTGTTTTCCTCCGGATGGCTGCAGCTGGAATCAAGGTCACAGTAGCTTTGAGCATGGACCTGCGCTGTTCCACCCACACACACATCTCTATGTTGAAGACATGTCTGTGCCACATTCTCTTTGAGACACAGCATGTAGAGAACAGTGGCTGTCAGGTATCTTTATCTTTCCCCACAGCCCATGACACCACAACGTTTATATTTCCTGAAATAACACCACAGTTAGTCAGCATTATTACCAGTAGAGGCTGGCATTCAGTTCAGCTGGAAATATTTCCACGATTGTGTAATGGGGAATTTCTGCTCCAACAACTGGCTTTTACACTTTCATAAACTGTGAAATTCACTTTAAAGCTCACTGAAACCTTTTTAATTATATACTTTCTCAAGCACTTGAATAGAACTTGACTTATGTGCTATTCTGGGGATGAAGTAGTGTAGTGCCTCAAAATAGTCCTGTATGTTCAACTGGGCTTTTTTTGTATAATTGTGGGCTTCTAATAGCAGACCAGGTCTAAGTGTTCACGCCTACCTCTGTCTTCATTTCTGTCAGAGTACTTGGAGGTCGTGTGGCGTTCCCTGGCCTCAGAGAGTGCAGAGTGCCCTCTACTGGTGAAAAAGGCTTCAGATACCCTTGTGGAGCGCCTGAAGGACCCCAAGACCTATGATAATATCACAAAAGACTTCAAGTACAGTACAGCTATTCTCTGTAATCGTTACTTCTTTATCCTGTTATTTACTGGAAATATGAAGCCCTTCCGGTGACATTAGGGAGGGAAAAATATTCCATGGCCATGCCTTTCTAAGGAGTGGGAACGAGATCTGTGACCATGAGATGCTATGTTGTGTTGGCAACTTTATAACATTCATGTTCCAGATGTGATGGGATGTTTGTCCCATGTTTGTCCCCTCCCCCATAATACATGGAATGTAGCTATTATTAAAAGCTAAAAGCTTATGTGTGCTGTTGCATTGCAACACAACATAATAACTTGTAGCCTTGCATTATACTATCCTGTCCCTACCTTTTGTGTTGTGGCCACAGCAGAACATCTCGTTCCCACACCTTAGTAAGTCATGGCCATGGAATATGTTTGTGACAGTAGGAATGAGATTATAAGGCCAAAATGTTTTCATATATTATAAATATTAAACTGTTTAAATCCATGAATGTAATCTGAACCAGATAACCATATATATATATACTCCTAAATTGGGAAAATATTTTTATACTACAGTATATTTATGTACTGCGTTAGGAAGAAGTTAAATTGTGTCATTCATATCGATTTTGTTTTTGTCCCAGCCTGTTATACAGTTGATTTTCTATTATGTTTTTTGGCAAAAGTGTGATTAATTCAGCATTTGTTTTTCTTTTCTTTTAATTGGTACAATTTTAAATTACAAACATGATTATGTAAAGCAACCTAATAATTTTTATAAACGGTGCCTGCGATAATTTGCCCCTAAAATTGCACAGGTCTCTTCACTTTGCCTGATTAGAGCTCATCTCTGGGCTATGCAGAAATGTACATACCTTGAATTTCACAGCATGCGGTCATTTTAATCACTCTCCCGTTCGCTTTGTTTCAGCTCTTGGCGTCAAACAAATTAGACCCCTATTATTCTCATTAGTTATTTACATGTGGTAACTCCAGTTAACTCCCAGCATGGCGCCATTTACCTAGAAACGGAGTAGAGGTCTAATGAAAACACCTGTGTAGTGTGTATGGTCTTGTGGGCCGTTTTTGTCAGAGGACCTGTTGCTTTGTGAAAACAGGGAAGGCACAGTTCTAGTCAATAACATTAGCTATGGCACTATTGCTTGTTAGGTGTTCTGGGTAAAGCATGTCAGGGAGCATGCACTTGACAAAAATAACATTATAAGTTAACACAACTTAAATTGCCAGGCTATTCAAATTAAAATATATTGTTTTAAAGAGAATTAAATCAATAGTGAATCGTCTTGCATACCTCTTAGCTCTTGTTCCTGATTTGGGTGAAACAACCCTTTTAAAAAGGCTGGCCTCTGAGTCAACAAAAGTGATTTGACATTTTTGTATTACTTTCTCTTTCAGTGTGTTTTGTTGTTTGATGTGTCTAGTGTTATTTTAGGCCATAGTGGCTGTAAGGTAAGTCAACATGATGAAAAAGAATAATATTGCTTTGTTGTGTGGTTAGTTTTATCAAACTAATACTGTCATGAGACGCACTAAACCCTCATTTTTGCCTGGAATTCCTTGACCACACTAGACTTGTTTAATTTTAGCGTCTTGGCGATGATGTAGACCATCGATGCAGACATGTTCTCATGCAGGCACTAACGTGCAAAGGTCACAAATCCAGCTTCCAAACCACCGTGTCTCAGAAAATACAGGACTTGCGTCACGATTCCATCATGAAGGAATGATGGTTGTTTCTGAAATAAGTCTATTATGTTTCCAGTATGTGACCTTAAGTTACTAGTGTAAAGGTCTGAAAAAAAACACTTAAGGTAATTTTATCAGCTCAGATTTTTTTCACAGACATGCCTGAGCAGCATATTTTCACATCTATATACACACCCACACTTTGACAAAGTCAAACAAATACTGTAATTTTTACTTTGATGCTTTAGCTTAGTACTGTCAAATTGACAGAAGACCCTAATCAGTATTATCTTTGAATTAATTGCTGCTCTACTAAGAAGTGAAAATGACTATTCAGAGCCTAACGTCTTGTGGAAAAAAACAGTTTAAATTTATTTCAAGAGACAAGTTGGAACTTTTTAACACAGGTTTGTTTTGGATCACACATCGCTTCACTACTCATCCATGATGGTCATCGCTCAGAAGAACTGTAACTGTTCTGTTCTCTGGGTCAGGTTGTCTTAGGTGGTAACAAACTCTAAACACTTTCTGGGGGCTAGTTGTGTACTTTCAGTGAAACAGTGTGAGGTTTTTCTGAGAGCACAGGAAAAAAGAAATGTGCCAAGATGCACTACGCAACTGCCAAAACATGCTCTGATTTTAATTTTCCTCCTCTTTTCCTCTCTGCCTCACCCACATTCCCTCACTTCCTCCACTGCCTTTGCTCCACTATATCCTTTCCACCTCTTCTTCATCTCCTTTTATATCTTTTGCTTTCCTTTTTTACCTTTCTTCTTCTCTTGTTCTTTCCTCTTCCCCTCCAGCTTGTGTTCCAAACTGCAAATCCAGACAGACGCAGACTCTGCCTACTTCTTAGAAACGCTGGCTGGCGTCTTCATGGATGTTGTCCAGTACAATGAAGACAACAGGGTGTTTGAGGTGAGAGAAATGCCAAACAATACCCGTAAAGCATAAAACATGGATTTTGGAGACAGTAGCTGACATTTTGTGCCAAAAGTCAGTCTTTAAATTTGATTGTTTTAATGCCAAGACAGTATTTATTTGAAAGAAAAGCATACTAATGACAATGCTTAATGCTGATGATCTGTTCCTTAATACACTGCTGATTGATCCTAAGCTAATTTTAATCACGTTCATCATCATAGTTATGCATCGGTCTCAAAGTACAAAATACATAATGCATGATGACTTAAGACAGAATTAAGGGAGGTCGTAGAGCGCCTTTGTAGGCCAGGTGTTGACTGAAGGTCAGGTTTTGGTTAGGTGGAAGTCAGCTGTGGGATGCAGGAGGCTTACAGGCCACCTGAGCAGTATACAGAAACGTAATAAACCCTGAAGCTGTCTTTTATCAGGTAGCATGGTTAAGTGATTTTGAAAACATTCAAGGAGATATCTGATTCAGTAATTACTTTGTAATGTCACTTTATACAACCTTAAAATATAGATATTGTCTTTTACATTTTTGTTAAAACCTGGTGCCTACACTGTGTTATGCTAATAGTGGCTAATGTAGCTATGAGGAGTGGGCTATCGAGGTCTGGTAAACTCACTTTTCCTCCACACACCCATATTTTCATTTGTTTATTTTTATTTTTAAACTTGTAGACTTCAGACCCAGTAGACCCAGTTCATCATAGTACAGTTAACAAAGTACCCTCTGAAACCACAAAATGATTTATAGGCTACAACTGTTTTCTCATCTTCCCAACACTTGTAAACAGACTCTGATAAATAAAATTGGTGCAGTTCTTTAAGTATATTAATATAGAATTAATGGGAAACAGACAGAAGGGCAGTGGGATCTGTAACAGTTTCTCTTTTAGGAGACAAAAAAGCAACATTTTAAATGTATGTAAAATGATATTGATTAGCCCAATCCTGAACTTGTGGAAAATATTACTCTTTCTAACAAGTCCCAATTTTTGGGAAACAATATTTCTCTCGTTTTTCTTTTCTTATTCTGTCTTCCTGTATATCTGTTTCTTTTCTTTTCCTCCCTTGGTGCCTTTTTTTTTTTAACTACTTACCCCTCTTTTCCCCTCTCTGTCCTCCTGGTGCCTTGAGCAGACGTGAGTCCGGTTACCAATAAGCTGATGTAAAAAAGTAACAAAAGACTCTTTAGTCTCTCTGGCTTCCTGTCGCCCCAAGCTAAAGAGACTCATAAAAGAACTGAGAAGAGTGGTGGGCCACAGAGCCCACAACAGTAGCAGACAAATCCGGCCAGCCATAATGGCTTCTCTGCCACAGCGGGCTGGGTATAGAGCAAAGTACCAGGTTTCAGGTACCACTGAGGAATCTGGGTAAGAACTAGGAGAATGTGACCCAATCAGAAGAGTCAGAGCCATGGCTTCACAGTCGAGGGGTTATCATTGAGGTGCTTTATAAAATGCAGGGCATTATGTAACGTAACAACTTGTAGAACACCTGCTAACAGTTCCTCTTTTTACACAGAAGATGCAGATGGAACAGTGGTCACGGGTCATTTATAGCTAACAAGGCTTCATTTCCAACATAAGGGCTGTAACCACTGCCAGCTGTTTACTCTTTCAGCTCTCACTCCAGTAGCACACTTTGTTTTCGGAAAGATTATACCTGGATGGGTACAACCACAGTGTTGGACTGATGCCACTGAGTGGGCATAGTTTATAACTGAGGAGCATTGTAGGTGGGTATAGAGGGAGGGGATCACCACATTTCCAACAGTCCCCATGTGCTGCCTTCTCTAATCACTGGCTAAATTTTCCCTTTGCATAACATAACTTTCATATTTATTTTTAAACTAATTAGCCAATGCATGTTAACATTGTCACTGTCAACATGCTAGCATGTGCTGAAAGTATTCAGCTCCTTTACTTGTGTACAAATACTGCAATACATAGTACATTAATTGAAACTCTTTAAATACATTTTGTGGATACGTTAAAATAAAGTATCAAAAATAAAAGAACATGTTTTTCATGAAATTACATTTTACTTGCATTATATATTAAACATTGTTAATGCTACTAGCTGAAGCGGGGCTGGTTTTAACAATTTATATACAATTAAGCTGTTAAAGGAATCATTTGGGATTTTTCAAGTTGGTGTTAAAACCATGTTGATGTATCCATATGTATGTGAGAATGTCTTACTCATTACTTCTCCTTCTCTCCACACTGAATGTTCCGCAGCAACACAGCAAGGTACTGTCCAGGGAAATAAAACAGGGACTGTATCTTTGAAATGTACTGACTTGAATTTGTTTAATGGGACAGCTGAAGCTGCATTTGAGCCTCAGATGAACTTTGGAGTGCATATTTTTTTCAGAATGAGGGTTGTGTTGTTTGTCCCTTAATTTCTTTGGAGTAGAGGTATTCCCAGTGGAAACATTTTCTATTATTTATCAAACTGGAAAATGCAGATATTTTTTGGATAAACCCACCTCAATCTGAAATATTTAGAAAGTAATACAAAGTTAAAGGTGTATACATTGTTGTAATGAAGATTTTTTTTTTTTTTTCTTTTTGGCTCTGGGCTGTTTTGTCAATGTAGGGTATCCCGGGCACAAACATCACCATCAAAGTGCTATGTGATGTGATGGGTGATACCTCACTGAAAGACCCATATTCCCGCTATGCTGCTGTGGCCCGCCTCATGATGGACACCTTCTTTATTAAATGCCTGGATACCACCTTCGGTACCTACTTCAGAGACATGACTAACACATCCTGGCATGGGCCAGCTGCAGGGGGAGGTGAGCATGTTGTGAAAAGTGGCTTTTTGCTTGTTTAAATAAGGTTATTTTAGTTGGTTCTGTTCAAAGATGTCACCTTAATGACTGTTTGTGAAACAACTATTTTCATGTACCTTGTATTTTTGGGTTCATTGTGTTGCTATGTATTTTAGGTGGTGTGTTTTTGTTCTCATAAAAGAGGATAACTGGCACAGACATTGTGCTGTCTCATCAAACTTTTCCATTGTCACCCAACAATAATACATGTGTAGATTTTAGAATTTACCAGTCCAGAGTAACAATTCTAAGACTGGCTATGCTGTCTTTATACTGTTGTTATATACTACACCAATTTAACCAAAAACCAGTTTTTATATTCCACGTTGTCCTCTTGACCTTGTCTGTGGTTTCAGTTTCCAGCTTTGGTTTCATGAGTGGAGAGGGGGATCACTAGAGCAGGAAGTGGTCTTTTAAAAAGCCACTGGAATGTATTTGCATAAACTGTTGTCTTGTGAGTTCCAGCTGAACTCACTCCGCTCTTAATTGGGCCCTAAACTGAAAGTGAAGACCTTTTTGGAGTAAAGCCATGGGTAAATTGTGTGTGTTTGTGTGTTGTCAGGGAGACAGTGGGTCTACCAGACATGCACTGAATTTGGATTCTACCAGAGCACTGATTCACCCAACCAACCATTCAATGGCTTCCCTCTTGCGTGAGTCCAATAACCCATGCCACTCTGCCTAATAAACTCATTGTGTGTTTACCTCTGCACCTGCTCCACCGTCACCTGTTGTTATTATTGCCACATTGTACACTGACTATTTACTTTATTTGCTGCCAGTTTCATTAACATTGCATTGTTAAACTGTGTTTTCTCATCTAGGTATTATTTGAAACAATGTGCAGACTTCTACAATGTCAGTGCCGAGCAGTTGGCGGAGGCTGTGGCTCAGACCAATGAGTACTATGGTGGCTATGACATCCGCTCCACCAGGATAGTTTTCCCCAATGGGTCCATTGACCCCTGGCATGCCTTGGGAATCACTCGGGACATCACGTCTGACCTCCCTGCTGTTTTCATCAAAGGTAAGAAAAAAATATGCATTATAGATGATCCCACTCTAGTAGAAGCTTTGTGACGTCATGCTACATAACCTTACAAGTGTGGTACATGTCAGTATGTAGGTTGTTTTTAGCTGTGTCCTAAATCTCTCTCTCTCTCACTCATTACTCCCTTTAAATCTACTGTACACTAACTTTTTTACTCTACGCTAAGCAGTAAACTCACATTTTGTGTCATCACAAATTTACTCCTAATTATACTTAGTTTGGGTGATTTGCAAGTCACAAGATGTAGGTTGTAAAAGAAATTTTGGTTACATATTGTACAGGGTGGGCCATGGAAAAGTAGCCCGTGTAGCGCAGGTGCCTTGTACATGTCTGTGTGACCAATAAAATGTTAAACCTTTTAATGACTTTTTGAGTGTCTTTATACCCAGGTCTAAAATCTATTGCATTTCGTTTGTGGTTCTTTTATGTTACACATTTCAAGCTGTTTTTTTTTTTCAGAGCTTGCTTGTTCAGCTCTAATTTAATTAGTTGAATAATTGTACTTGTAATTCAGTTTTATCACCTTTCCCTGCCGTATGGTTTATACATAAATTTCTCTCTGATTCAGGAACAGCCCACTGTGCCAACATGTACCCTGCTAGAAGTCAGGATCTCCCTCAGCTTGCTCTGGCTCGTGACCATATCTTCTTACTCCTCCAGCAGTGGTTGAAACAGTGATTGACAGATTAACAGGCCAATCAGAGACCTGAATGATTTGATGTAAACTCATTACTTTCTTGTCAAGATTGTTGACTTTGGAATTACAGTGTTTATTTGACTGCCACTTTGAAAAAAGCATCAGCCGGTACAAAGTTCGGGTGTTTTTAAATAAGCGAGACTATTTCAGGAGAACAAATAAAGATGTTTATACTAACACTGTATTTTTAGTTTCATTCTGAGTTAACATACATAGAAAAGGTGAAAAGTGAACATTATGCATAATGCATTCTTTGAGATGGTTTAGGATAGACTTTAGTCTTGGGTTATTCAGTTCAACACTGAAAATCAAGTTTAAACAGGCAGCAGAGAAAAAAAAGCAAAATATTTCAAGGTTGATTTTGCCCTGGAATGGCATCGGTTCATGTGTTTACATGCAAACATCTATTCTTGGTCAGAATAAGTTTAGTCTTGTTTGATGATAAGAGTGCAACTGAAATGTTGCTCAGCCTGAGCATGACAGTATCTCAGTGGAACAGCCAACATAAGTGTTTACCTTAAAAGCATCTTTGTCACACCACAAACTTATAAAGATTGTGTAGTATGGACGACATATTGCAGTGTTCTCTTGTCTTGATGTGGATGGATAGTTTAAATCTGTGTCTGCTATAGACAAATGAAGTTTGCCTTTGAGGCATGATTAGAGCGCACAGGTGTGTGTTTATTCACCACCTCCTGAAAACTCTCAAAACACACACAATGACCTTCTCCACTTGGATTAACAGTGTTTGTTTTCACAACAGTCCTATCTCTGTATCTCAGCTGCAGCTGCGAGACCCCGACTTTTAGCACAAACCAAACACCCGTGGAGACTAAACCAAAAATTTGACTTGAATCTAGTCTCACTATAATAGGTGTCCCACGCTGTGAACTCCTAAAAGCCTACAGATGGGGATTAGCTCAGAGGCATATACTATAATTTAAACCCCTGTAATTCGAGCTACCTACTCATAATCCTAACTTTGATGGTGTGTGTGTGTTTGTCTCAAAATTTACCAGTGTAGCAAAATAAAATCACATAACTTAATTAGACCAAACCCAGGGTACAATGAGACCATGTTTATATTTTGTTTGTCCTTGCTTTGTTTAGAAAATATGCCTTTTAAATAATTTTTTTTAAAGGTTTGGTGTTAATGTTTTGTATTGGTGTTGTGCAAGGTGAATTGGGCAATTTTACTTTGAATGCGACACAACATGACTAAGATGATTACTCTTACATTTTGTCCCTTAACATCCCGTTGATTGTGACTTCCTCATATAAACAAACATATGCTCTTATTGCATCAAGTTGGACGGAGTTGAAAAAAAATACCGGAAGTAGCTGCATGGCGAAGCTGAAGTCCTTTTTTTTTGCTGCTTAGAAAATTGGCATTGGCTCGTTTAAGCACAGCAATATAATTATGTACGATATTATGATGAAAATATGAGCGGTATAAATGGTGTAAGAAATAATAATGAAAGTAGTGGACGATAATAATGTGGTAATTCACTTAGGTTTATTTTGAAAGTCTGCCGGAAGCTTGTATCCTCTAACTTGTTGATAAAGGAGAAATTTGCTTGGAAGGCGGAGTTCAGTCCAATAAAGTCTTAAGAGTTGTTGCGCGCTTTCACTGGTATAAAGAGTGTTTTTGCGTTTATCTTGTGAACAAGCCCTCATTTCTTTATTTTTATATAACGTTAGTGGAAAGTGGACTAATACAGTTTCACCTGCGGGATAACAATAAGTGGAACTAAAGTCACCTCGTGATAGGTAAGAACCCTCATTTTAACCTTTATTTTTTTTTACACTAGACTCAACAAATATCGTTAACAGATCCTAACATTAGCCTATAACCTAGCTAACCTAGCTTGGCACCACATCGTAACGTTATCTAGCGAAATAAATTGCTCTTAACCTTTTAAATAATATGTCTGTAACGTTTTAGCTAACGTTACTGAAACGTAACATTTAGCTAAATAATGCGTTTCATTCAGTTGGATTTTGTTGGCACTTTAACTTGGCTTTTTTGTGTTACTTATTTATCTAGTTTATATTTCACTTGTATTTTTGTGGCATTCATGTGGACGGCAAAGTAAGAATTTCATTGTACAGGGAAACACGTTTCCTAACTGTGCATATGACAAAATAAACACTTTGACAACACAAAACCCGATAACGCTGTTATGTTAACGCCACTTAACAACTGTAACAAGCTGCTCGGACCGAATGCTGTTGTAATGTATGAGAAACCTGATGGTCAGGGTCAAAGTTGGTATTTTATGGGAGTATTTCAGTCCTGAAGATTTGACAGACAGATATCACAGTTTGACAAAAATTCAGCCGTTGTACTTGAATACTGATTGGTCAGTCTGGCTGTCATATTATGCCAGACTTGCTAGATTATATTTATTTGCACAGAGAATTCAAGCTACTATGGCAAAAGTAAAATAAAGTTTTGTTTGTCATAAAATAAACCTTTCACAGTGTTTTCCAAGTGTTTTTTGGGGCCAACCTCAGATTTATAAGCAAAGCTGATCAGCAAATGGTGGCTATTCTTTACCAATAACCTGAACCTGTGCACAGTTTACACTTTATGTGGAAACATAAAGCAGGAATACCAGGGAGAGTTTATAAAACGGGTTTCACAGAGATGCTGTGTCCCTCCAGACAAACCCATAGGCATTCTGGCCTGCTCTTGTAGCTACATCCATTCTGCTTCAGTGAATGGGGAGCAGGCTGAATCATTTCCCTAAAATGATCTGAAAGTCCAAAATTGGACAGAAAGAGGAGAGCTCTTACAGTAGTCTGGTTATGGCAAGACTGTGATATTTAAACAGTGTGAGTAAGAGTTAGTCAGACCCTGCAGCTCTGAGTAAATGGTTTTGTTTTCTATGGACAAGCAAAAGTCTGTGTGATAATTGTGGTTAACCATAATGAGTCATATGAAGGAGATATATCACAACCTTGGAAATAATTACAAGGAATGCCAAAGGTTGTAGATTGGTGTTTTTATACATTTATTTTTGAGATTGTAGGTCTCTTAATTGTGAAATATTGATGATGCTCAAATGTAAACATATGTAAATAAGTCTTGTGTCTAGTGGATTATAAATCAACAATCGAGACTGGCATGGTTGATATAAAATGCTTCTGATATTCTGTTTCTTATTAGGTGCTGTGTAGATCATAATGAAGCGCCTCTCCATATTGTGCCTGTGTGCCCTGGTGACCTTGTATGGCCATAAGTATGTGCTGTCCCAGCCTTACTCGTATGGTGAACGAAACTCAGATCTAGGCATACGGGTGTTTCAGCAAGTAGTCCAGTCCAAGCCCCTGGAAAATGTGGTGTTTTCACCCCACGGAGTGGCTTCCATCCTAGGCCTGCTGCTACCTGGAGCCCATGGAGAAACCCTGAAGCAGATCACCAGTGGTCTTCACTACAAGAAAAATGGTGAGGGCTGTTTCTGGAAGTAGAAGTGAGGGTATTGATCAACCTGGTATGTAGCTGTGTCTCAGGATTAGAATTTGGTAGATTAGCTCTCCACATTAATTGAACTCACTACAGCCAGATGAGCCTTCAGAGTTTTTGTTTATTGTTTAAAGCCTAAGCAATAACTGAGAAATAATGTGAACTTTATTTGGTCTTCACAGGTCGTTACAGGATGTTGAAGAAGCTGCACAGGTCTGTGACAGCAAAGTCCAAGCAGGGTGTTGTGCTGATTGCCAACGCCATATTCAGCCAGAAGGGCTTCCCTATGAAGGTGGCCTTTGTAACTGACAACAAAGTAAACTTCCAATGTGAGGTCAGGAGCTTGGACTTCAACAACCCTCAGAGAGCAGCTAATGAAATCAATGAATGGGTCAACAATAAGACCAAAGGTAGGAGTTATGGATGTAGCAGCTATACACAATGTAAAATAATCTCAAACAGTCCTTAAAAAGGCAGATATGTACAACACATGTGAGGGTGTCTGTTTAAACAGCTATGAAATTTGTTACAAAATCTAGTTAATATGTTAACTGTTGATACATAAGTTAGAGATAATAAAACTTTCATTTTCAGACACTTCATTACTTGTGAAAGTACAAGTGATTTTATTGAGAATGATTTGAATAAAGATAGATTTAACTGTTCTTGTGGGTCCAGCTTTGTAAGCCTTATTCAGCTTCTCACTTGCCCCAGGACTGTGTGAGTTTCAAGCTACAGACACCTGTATACTTACCTGCAAATCTAGATTATATTGTGATCATACCACAAAGGCAAACGCATGTTAAAACTACCATCGAACTTTTTTGTCTTTTCATAAACCACAGTATAAACCCATGGCTTTGCACTGTGATACTACATTAATACCTCTTCATTTATACTGAGGCTAATATGAAAGACATGGTGATTTTTATCAAAACCTGCAGTTTGAATAATGTCATCATATTGTAATTTTATTCAGGTCACATCTCTAGCTTGATCCAAGCAGACATGCTGGACTCTCTGACCCGTCTAGTCGCTGTCAACTCAATCTTCTTCAAAGGCTCATGGAAGTCCCGCTTCCAGCCCGCAGACACCAAGATGAAGCCCTTCAAAGGGGGGAATGGGGATGTATACACAGTCCCTATGATGTCCCAGCTATCTACCTTCAACATATGTGAGTGGTGATATGTGCGAGGGTTCCACTGATTGCCCTCTGACCTCTAACCTTTCAGTGTCAGTTCTTTACATTCACCTGAATACAGATTTCTGTGTTTGAGTTCATGCTGCATTCAGGTGATATGGAACCACGAGGATGTTGTTCATCAGTTCGTATAAATATTTCTGATTTATAGCTGTTATTAAAATTAGTTTCTGAATAATCACTGATGACTGAACTGTGTTGACATAGTTGAACCTTCACAATACAAGTTTGTACAAATAGGCCTATCAGTTAGTTTAGATCTATGATGCAATCCCAGCCATCGTCAACTTATGATTCATGGGTGAGCTTGTGCTGAGTTATAAGGAAGTGCAGGCTTAGACATGCCACATCCGTCGGATATTACTTAGTCCTGTGTGAAATGCAATGATATACCAGTCAGTCACCTATATTTAGATGAGTTGTCATAGTTGTGTTAGCATAGTGAGTGCTGTTGCTAGATTCTCATGCAGTACTCCAGTTAAACTTAGCCCACGTTCAGCTGTCAGATGTTTGTTTCTTGCTTCAGTATCCTGCAGTGTGTTGAATGTTGTGCAGATAATATGTGACTTGTTGCTTAGATTCATGCCCCCAAATTACTGTTCTCAGGTCTTTAAGAGAACAGCCCTAAATCATTTGACTGTGGCTTGACAGAGTTATGTGTTTAAAGTTATAATGGACATAGTTGGCTTTATTTCATAACATAATGTGTTGTGATTTAGTTTATTGGCTATGTAAAGCATGGCAAACTGTGTAGAAGGAGTTAAATGATGCCTAGCAGTATGAGTATGCTGCTGTTCATGGTCTTTCTTGGCTAACAGTTAAACAGTACATTTGTCATTCTTGAAGCTAAATGTGTAACTGCATGGGAATGTGTTATTTAAAAAGTCAAAGGACTCATCTAGTCCAGCACACTCAATGCTGTCTGGAGCTTTAAACAATATTGATAAATTTGAAGGCAGAGAAACTTTCTCAAATGCATCTCGGAAGGCTAAACAAAATAAAAAGTAATAATAATAATAAATACTCCTCCTCCTTGACAACTAACAAATATCTGAAATCCGTTTGATTTAATAAATGTCTGCTCTGTGGTAGGTCTTTTCTGGAGACAGATCTGTTTGCTCTCAGAAAATGGTGCATTATCTCCTTCTAGTTTGTTTAGACTAAATAAAAAATATTGTGCGGTGATGGCCATCATTTTCAGAGAGACGAGAAAACACTGTTTCCCATAGAAACACAAAGTTCTTCAACAGAAAATCCAGACAAAATGGATAGATACATAGCATTAAAAGAAACTTTACTTCTTTGTTAATACACAAATAATGTTACATTATACAATGCTTAAGTAAATAAGCTCATACAAAAAAAGTAATTTCTTGCATCACAAGGAACAGGGAATTCCATTCTGCAGTCTCACAAACAGAAAAAAAATTGGCCACTTTTAAAAGTACTTTCCCTTTTTTTGAATGACTTGTCTACTAAAAGCAGGGTGTTTCTAAAAGTTCTTTCTTAGTCATTGTGTCAAAAAATGTAATGGCCACTGTACTGATAGGAGGAAGGGAAAATAGTTTGGTTGCTAATTAGTCACGTACTGTACGTCTTCCCAAAATAAATACAGGAAATGAATAGGACTAAAAGAAAGACTCATTTCTATGACAGTGATGATGCATGATTTGGGTTTCATCCATCCCTATATTTTCACTTCAACTTCCAGCCCATGCCACCACACCCGAAGGAGTGAAATACAGGGTAATTGAGCTGCCCTATCAAGGCAACACCACCAGCATGCTGATTGTTCTTCCCTACGAAGAGGACACACCTCTGTCCAGTGTTATCCCGCACATCAGCATAGCCACAGTAAGGAGCTGGATGAAACAGACGTACACGAGGAAAGTCAACCTGGTCATCCCCAAGTAAAACGAACACACACACACACACACACACACACACACACACACACACACACACATTTGCCCTTCAGACTTCTTTTACTCAAAGTGACGAACATCAACACTGTGCATGCATGTTTGTATTTGCCTGTAGGTTTACTGTTGATGCGGAGGTAGACTTGGAAGCCCCCCTTTCAGCGCTGGGAATCAAAGACATGTTTGATGAGAACAAAGCTGATTTCAGAGGCATCAGTAAGTGAAAGCACAGTCAGTCTAAACCCAAACGTGCCCCTAGCCCATCAAAGTATCTCAAAGATTCTTGGCTGTTTACTGCTAAGAGCTAGTAAGAAGTAGGAACTGTGGCTGGCTGTTCAGTGTGAAACCTTTTCTTTCTTTCGTCTTGGGAATGGAATGAGAGGAGCTCTGGATGAAGTGCTCCAGTGCCATCGTGTGGTGTAATGTACAATGGAGTTAGTAGGATTACTCTGACAGATCACGTGCCATCACGGAGTATGTTGTAGACAGTTAATACTATTATAATTTGAGTCAATAATTAATCAAACAGACTGATATTAAGAAAAGAGAACTCATCTGAAGTTGTATTGGCTTGTTATTATTTTATACTTGAAATATGAGAAGTCTGGGCATCTTTGCTTAGACTGCTGCCCCCGCGACCCGGTCCTGGATAAGCGGAGGAAAATGGATGAATGGATGGATGGAAATATGAGTGAAAAAGCCACACTGATCCTTTGGTAACATCATGGTACAAGATGGCCATTTTTTTGTCATATTTTCTCTTTGTTTGGTTTTTCTTCATTATCTACCAGGTCCAGCTGCAGTCTCGACTTGTACTTTACTAATGCTAGAAATCAGTTATTTCTTTGTCAGCACAGAACGCACATAAGGTTCAGGACAGTGCTGTGTGACCTGCTGTCAGCTTAATTTGATTTCCCTATGTAGATCCACATTATTTGCAAAGTCTGACAGTTAAACAGACCAGGCAGCAATGCATGTTATTCTAAAATGTTCTATTGAAGTTCAGTATACTTTTTCTGTGTGCAGTTGACTAAATTAGTTGCTTCGATTGGTATTGTTGTGGCTTAATCACCTGTGCTTCCCCTACTGTGACGAGTGCTTTAGATTTGTGGCTGATTGGATGTCTCATCTACAACAGTTACTAAACTCCACATACCAATAAGAATACTAAAATGTAATAAGTTCTGCTTTTACAGATGCAACAACAAAGGGAAGGAAGTGTCAATTTAGCACAGTCTGTACAGGCACACATAGAACTAAAGGTGTAGTCACACCACAATTTGCTTTTCATTAATGTCTTTGTGGAACAGGGTGAGATGCATTCACTTCTGGTTTGCGAATTGACCCATCTCCAGATCAATCTAATTGGAACTTTGACATTTTTGGGCAGGGGGGACTGGCCTGTCATTCAGTAAATAATGTGTGTTAGGCCATGCAGTCTCCCGCAGGTTATGTTTACAATCCTACCCACACTATTTCCTGTCCCCTCCTGCTTTTGGCCACACCACAAGTAAATTTAGCCAGGCAAATTGTGGCGTGACTGCACCGGAGACAAGATGTAATCAAGTTAAATAAGTGATAACACCTGTGTGGGTGAGCCATGGGTGTGTAGTGTCTTTACAGATTTTCTTAAAGTAGTTTTTGTTCACAAATACTGTAAATCACCAGTATTATTCCACTAAAATGTATACCAAGTAACTGCATCATATGCTGATAGTATTAAATGATCAGTATCAGATAAGTTAACAAAAGACAGTGACTGCATGGCAAAGCCCTAAACTAACCCTGTGTATGTGTCTAAAGCCTGAATTAACAGTTGGTGTTTCCTTAGGTGATGAGCCTTTGTATGTATCCAAGGCATTACAGAAAGTCAAAATTGTGGTGAATGAAGATGGAACAAAAGCAGCAGCTGCCACAAGTGAGTATTTAATCAGCAAACCTTGATTTGGACTTTGATGCTGAGCTAAGCACAAAGCTGTATGCTTTGAGAATGCTCTGTATAATGGATGTACTTACAGTATGAATGTTCTAATTTATAGCAGCAACCCATGCTGTTACAGTTTCTGACATGTTACAATGTGTTTAGCTGCCATTTTGATGGCTCGCTCCTCTCCACCTTGGATTATTGTGGACAGATCTTTTCTCTTCCTTGTCAGACATAAGCCAACAGGTACAGTCTTCAGTTTCTGTCTTGCTTTACTCATCTTTAGAAATACAAATAATATGTTTAAATAGAAGTTCTCAAATTCCTGTATCTATATGAAATATGGCAATTTATCACCAGTATTAAACTATGATGAGTTCTCCCCGTCTCTCTACCCAGGTACCATTCTGTTTATGGGTCAGATCAACCGGCCTTAGTCCAGCCTTCACTGGCCAGCACGGGAAATGCTTATACACTGCCATGCATGAGCACACACCTACACTTAAACACACACACACACACACACTGCTGTAGACTTATGTACAATGTGGACATATGATGTTATTTGTTTTAAGTACTGCTTTTTATGTTACCCATTTTCTATAATGCATAACATGTTTTATAAGATGTTCTGCAGACTAAACTTCCTGTTTTAATTTTTATATACATTTTTTGAGTTTATTACATTTTTAAAAGAGTTGAATGGCATCTGGTTACTTTCTCAACTTGAGAGTCAGTATAATATGTTTATATATCACATGTCACTTTTTCAATTTAAAGGTTGTCCATCTCAAGTACTGTCACTCCAGTCAGTTCAGAGTTTCACTCCTAAGTTATGACAATGTACATCCCACCTTGAACATCTTGCATTCAGCTACTTTAAAATGTTTTTCTCCTCACCGAGGAAGTTTTTTGTTGTCGCACTTGCTTCATATTTGATAAAATAAATACACATATTTATAACACCACTGATTTTGTCTTATTTACTCTTTTCTGACATGGAATGTTTGTCCACATGTGACATTCTGTAGTACAGTGTTTGTATCTTCATTTATAACATGTTTGGCACAGTTATCACAAAGGTTTGTGGTGGCTCTTCATTTAAACGTCGGCAACTATTAAAACACATTTGAATACAGTATTTTTATAAACCCACCCCAAGCCTGTTCAGGCTCTTGTGTAGCTGGAGTTCAAGACGGACTAATATAAACTTATGTTGCATTAAAGGTAAAACCTAAATAAGTGGAGGTCTAAAATTGAAATTCAGAAGCCCAAATTTGGCATTTGACTTGATTGAATGTCCAAGTGATAAAATGTAAATTTAGAATTAAAAATGCTAAGTTCCAGTTCAAGAACTGGAATTTCTAATTTGTGAAATTTTCACTTCTAGGTGGTAAAGATATCCTGTAGGTATGTTAAGTTACAGTAGTGGAACAGTACAGAATTATAATCCTAGTGATAGTCAAACTATCATGGGAATAATATTTTTATGTGTAATGGCATTATGGGGAAACTGATCTCCCTTCGTGGAGGTTTATGACCCATTTCCCCATAATCCGTCTATACTTGGTGGTGACTTTGCTGATGCCGAGGTCTTCCAGGGTCCCCGGACGTCTGACCTATTGCGTTGTGAATAATATGGCATCTGTGAAACAGAATTTCTCACTCGTGTCCCATCTCACTCAGTCTGAATTTGTTGGGTGATTTTTTTATAGTCATTACGGTAGCCTGACAGAAATTCCGGGTGTCAGCTGATCCTCTTGTACTGGCAAGCGAGAAGGAAAATCAGCAGAAGGAAAACACTGCTGGCCAGTTACAACTATGGCTGCTGAGATTCATTCGAGGCCTCAGAGCGCTAGACCGGTTCTCTTGAACAAAATCGAGGGACATTCAGATTCGGTCAATTCAGCCGTCTTAATACCAAAAGAAGATGGAGTAATCACGGTTAGCGAGGACAGGTGAGTTTCCCAAGCAGGCTAACAGTAACAGTAGCTAGCGGGCTCGGTCTATTTGCTGGTTAGTACACTCAGTACTTGGTGCACTACTTTAAGCTTGACGAGGAGAAACAGCATTTTTCCCTGTAAATGATATTTCTGGTTGTGTTATTCCACACGGAGCTGGGTTGTTATGGAAGGGCAGCGAGGATAAAAATGAGCGTTAATGAAGACTCAGTCTTTTCCTTAAAATATCCACGAACAAACAACCAGCCATAGATATAAACATCAGTGTAACGTTTGGTTTCCTTTCTACGGCGTCAGGTTTTTCGACTTTTTATGTAACGGTATTAAAACTAGGCTATAGTAACGTCAACTAGCTAGCTCGCTATAGCTACGTAACGTCTGCTCATAGTAAATATTGCGAACTCAAACTTGCTCCTTTCAGGTGTTCATTCTACGAAGACAGTTAGTCCCAAGGCTTCTAATGAAACTGGCTGGACTTTGTCATAAAAGTCTCAATTTACTGACGGTAAACAGTAATAAACAAACTTTCCACATTAAGCTGTTCATTTAGCTAATTTACAAGTTGCTTTGTAGTGCGTGATGTCTAAAACAGCTGCTTTAATACTTGTTGAACTGTCTCCCCTGAACATCACATCTAAAGAGCTTGGTTATAATAGAAAATAATTTTTTTGTTGTGTACACGAATTTCAGTAAAACCTGAAGGCAGCACCAGGGGAGCTATAATTTCGCGGACCTTTTCACCTGCTCTCACTGTGGCAGTAGCCAGGTAATCTAATCTCTGAAGGGCTAAGCATGGTCACACGTGTGTGAAGGAGCAACATCCTCATTCAGTGCTTCAGGAATGTAGATGGATCACACATCAAACCCATTTGATATTGAAAAGGGAAGTTGTGGGGTCAGTAGTGTAGCAGTCTAACATTAAGGTTCCTTAATAAAACAGGGCTGGGTGGTTGCTGCTTTTGGTATCGTTTATGCTGCGTCTTTTCAGACATTTTACTGGAACAGAAGTAAAACTGTAAACCCAATTCCTTTAAAAAGCTGACAGAAGCTTATATTAAATGCACATGAACTGAAAACAATGTGGTTTTTGAAAACCTGACAAGAGCATGTGATTTTTGCAAAGTTGTCCAGATGCTTATGTTGTTTTTATGGTACTATGATTTATTAAAATGTGTTAAAGCACAATATTTCTAGAAAGAATAACTGAAACAAGGAGCCGAAGTTGTTTATGGCGTATACAACAAAGTAGTAGAAGCTGGTAAAAGCCAAAACTGTAGTTTCAGAAGCAGTTTGGTTTTGGATCATTTCAGAACTGCGTTTTCCACAGCAGCATTAATAAAGCTTGCGTGACATTTAGAAAAAATGTGACCTGCCAAGCCTTCAGTTTTTTATAGATTGTTTAAACATACTATCATCCAGTCCCTTCCAGCACTGTTTTGTGAACAGAATGAAACTCTGTGTAAAGAGAATTAGGACTTGTTTCCCAGAGGAGGATTAAGCCTGTTATTATTAGAGCACTCTGGTAAGGATATTTTCATGGAAGAATGTCTCATTCTTACACCACTATTGTATTTGTCTAATTGGAGATTAGGACAATACAACAACAATAGATGATTAGCAATGCATTTAAAAGTTAAAAATCTGTATGAAAAATTGACTGACTACAAGGTTACAATTGAGTGGCTGTTGTAAGCAACACGAAGATGTGGGCGAGTGCTGTAAATGTGACGTTTTGATGTCTTCCTTCAGAACCATCCGAGTATGGCTGAAGAGAGACAGTGGTCAGTACTGGCCAAGCATCTACCACACAGTGTCCTGTAAGTAAGACTGCTTTGCTTCAGTGGGAAATAGAATGCCTACATATATGCTTGTGTGTGTTAGGAAACAGTTCTTTTTGTTACTGTAGTACAAACCTTTTTGCAACATGCATGCATATGATGATTTCCCTGCTTATGGCAAATGTCTATTTCTTTGTCCTTTAGCTCCATGCTCTTGCATGTCGTACCACCATGACAGCAGACGCATCTTCATAGGCCAGGACAATGGAGCTGTTGTGGTGAGTGAAGCAAATTCAAACACATGCTTTCATATTCTATCTGCAGGCTCACTCTTTTGGTTGATCAAACAGTCTAGTTAAAAAAAAACTGCATATCTGGTTTAAAATAATTCCACTATTTGAACTCTTCCAAATGGCAGAAGAGTTATTTGATTTGAAACTTGTTTTTTGTGTGCTGTTTGCTTGCCTTCTAGGAGTTTCTCATCTCTGAAGATTTCAACAAGATGAACCATGTTAAAACATACCCAGGTGAGAATGGGAGATGAGAAGACATTACACACAACTGTCAAGTCCATGCAACAGCTGACAGACTCTATCTCGTGATATAGTGTCCTAAACACTATCATATTGCACAGTGGTTTGTACTCCAACAATTTCTATATCATGCTTATGATGTAGTTATACTTGTAGTATATTACACACTGGTATGCTGAGTTTTTATAGTTGCACAGTCTGTAGGTGTGTGAGATAACTGGGGGTGGGCTGGGGGTTTACTGGGGCAATGCTGGTTGTGTGTACATAATACAAAAAGAAGGATCCACTCTGTAATCCTTTCTTCAACACTGATAGTGATCAAAAACTCCACAGGGAGTTATTAAATGTTATTAATAGGTTTGGGTATAAGACATTTAAGAAGCTTCCCTGTCATCTGTTAGTATGACCTGCTTTTGCATTTTGATACCGACAGTGAACATGCCACAGCTCCCCTCGCTCTATCAGCAGCCATTCAGCCTCCTCAGTGGAAAAATTAAGCTTCAGAGGGAAATTGCCAGAGGTTCAAACACCACATCATCACTCATCTGGTTTCTGTCACTTGCTGCAATATCAAGCGGCAGAGCATTGCCAGCAAACATATGACTCACAGTCATATCTACCAGGGACCAAGGTGTATTTATGCACTTCAAAGACGAGCACAGTTCAACAGTTGAATTCACCTTTAAGCAGTTAGTTTCCCCAAAGCTGCTGACAAGGAAAGTGGCCAGTGATCAAAAACGACTTGGTCTAATGTTAAATGGATATGACTAAATAATGGAAATTATTTTGGAAAAAGCTTCCATCACTGTAGTTCATATTTGTCTGCAAATTTGTGATTCATTGTTATATGAACATGTGGAGGGAAAAATATTGCTCACTCAGACACCTAGAACAGCAACAGGTTACAGGAAACACTTTAGTAATGTAGATGGATAAAAAGTGATAAACCCGCCGTCTGTCAAACTAGTTGAATACAGAAATTTGACAACAGAAGTGTGCACCTTTAGGGTGATGTCAGGGTGGCCATTAAGACGGGTGTACCAGTCTTTAGAAAGGATTGGCCTGTCTTAGTCTGGATTATCACAACACTAAGCACATCAGCACATGGAAAGGGCACATTGGTCTTCGACGGTGTTCCTCCATGATGGCTTGGATATAAAAGCCAACTGAAAAATGTGATCTTGTTGGATGTTTATCCAGTGTGACGTGTGTCTGTTAAACATGCTTTTGTGTGTATCGTTTGCAGCCCACCAAAACCGTGTGTCAGACATGGTGTTCTCCCTGGAGAGTGAGTGGGTGGTGAGTACTGGCCACGACAAGAGTGTGAGCTGGATGTGTACCCAGAGTGGTAGTATGCTGGGAAGGCACTACTGCAATGCCTTGGCCTCCTGCCTACAGTATCCTTCATTCACTCACTGTGTATAGTAGTACATACTATAGAAGTATCTCTCAGTTAAATGGTTTTAACATATGGAGCCTTTTGAAGCCCTGACTCTCCGCTCAGATATGATCACGAGACGCAGCACGCCTTTGTTGGCGATTACTCAGGACAGGTCACACTGCTGAAACTGGAAAAGCAGACATACTCCACCATCACTACACTGAAGGGTCACGAAGGTAAAGACACACCGGATTGCACATTTACATATCATCAATGCAGAACTGTTGTTTTCTAGTAGAATACAGTAGTTTGTCTCAATAAGCAGACCTATGATGACACATATGCAGATGTAGCCACAATAAATAAGAGATGAGCCAGATTTCTCAATGACTTCCTTATAAAAGAATGTGAAAGCCCAGCTGAATCCAATATGATGACAAATGCTCTGTTTCAATAAAGGTTGAGCTGTTTTTCACTTAGATAAAATAACATTAATATGACTGCAAGGATCACACCACAGCACAGTAAATCCCATATGCTTTGAACTTACTTTACTGTCAGCCTTTTTCCTTTTCATATCATTTTTAAATGCGTTTTATCTGCCTTCGAGGAGCACATTCAGCTTATCTTAGTATGCTATCAAAATGAAAGCCTAAAAATGTACTGAATATAATAATAATAGTTATTTAATTTTATATTTAACCATTTTAAACACGTTCAAGTTGCAGAGTGATGTGTGAATCCTTCCTTGTGGTGCACAACAATGCTGAAGCGCAGGTCTGATGACAGAATGTCGACACTCACTGTAGCTGGCACTTAGCAAAATGATCAGACATCATTGTCATTACTAATGTGTCAAACTTAAGACTTAGCTGTATTGAAATTAAAGTTATTAGAAAGGAGCAGGAAGTCAGTTTTAGCAATGCAGCTACTAAATAAATACATGATTCACTTATGTCAAACCCATATTTTTGCTAGTTATCAAAAAATAAAAAAAGTTAGCAATGAAGTAACTGTCAAGTAGTGAATATCATGAGGTGGGGTTCATTATACAGTTGTACCACATCAGTATGAGTCAGAGTGTACTGAGGAACAAATGGTGCTGAGGTGAGCAGAGAGAGACAAGTGGCATCGGCCCAGCGAGAATGCCAGCCTCTGGAACCAACAGAAAGCAGCTGTTGGCAGAGTTGTAATGCAGGCCAAACTATGTCTACAACAGTGTTTTTGTTGTGTTGAATGAGGCATTTTGACCCTCTGTTGGAGCAGCAGGTAATCGGCTCTGCTAACTGATTCAACATGGAACTACACTGAAGGAACGTATGTCTCTGCCATGGAGGTTAGTTTGAGAATTAAGAATCATTGTACAAGCAAAATCATAATTATAGTGTGTTTTTAAGGCGGATGTATCACCAAAACATTTCTTAAGATATTTTAAATCACTTGGCATAATTTTAGAAGTGTGTGAGAAGTGACTGGCACTAACAGAAGGTGTCAGCAGATGGTAGGTTTTTGGCTTAAACTTGAGAAATTGCTGGTATTTTCCCTAAGAACCAGCATATGTTATGTTGAACAGAGCATCAAGCTGCCACAGAAGCTTAGGTGAAAGCCTGGCATGTACTTTACTGTTTACTTAAGTAAGCAGAGTTTCTAGGGAGGATGTGAGACCTGCTCATCAAGCAATTCTTTATCTTTATTCTTTATCCAACTCCATTTCCATTTTGCATTTTGATGAAAAATGCTATTTCACATGCTGCTAATTCCCATAATTGTTGTCTGGGTTCAGATCTGGCACCTGTGCTGTTTTCATGCTCATCAAGCTACTCCGTGACCATTTGAGCCCTTTTAGATTGTGGCATTGTCATTGTGGGAAAACTGCCTCCCATCAAAGCATGTGAATATATTATGCAGATGGGATTTGTATTCATAGGTTCAGTGGACTTGTAGCTGTGCCAAGGAAATAGCTCCCACAGCAAAAATGGGCTGTCAAGCCACTTCAGTTTGTGAAACAATTACTTGCCACTGTTGTTCATCGGGCATTCATCACGCATGAGAACATACGCTTGTTGAGAACAGGCTGAAGGGTGCTTCATCTGATCATAATGATAAGCTCCACTACTCAGAATGTCTTCCTACCACAGCCATGTTGCCTACAGATCAGCCAGTGAGGACGGACATGTCAGCACGCCCTTGGCCTTATGAAATACAAATGTAAAGAAATACAACACACCATAACAATTTTTATTTCCCACATCTCTGTTCGATCTGTAAGTGTGCTTTGGTGCCCATGATAATACATAGTGATTAGGTTAATGATGGCTGTGTTGCCGAGCTCTGGCTGTGCATGAGTGGGAGCTTCATACAAATATTTAATGCAGGTTATGATTGATCCGATTTGGAAAACAGAATGGAAAGGTCAAGCTAAATGCCAGTGTCATATCAACATGGGCTTTTCTTAGGAAAGTTTTTTTTTTTTTTGGATGTCCTGTCCTCAAAATGTGTCTGTTGTGGTTGACTGACCTCATAACAACTCCCTGATAACCCACATGGCTCTTCTTAGATGGAAAATGCTCAGTTTGCTACAGCAGTGGAGTATAAATGTATTTCCCTATATTTCACTGAATGGAAAGTATTCAGTCCCACAATTAGTTTCCCTTTGAATGCTTAATATTTCACTGGAACCATGGAACTTGCTTTGCATGTTTGCACTTTTTCCACTCACAGTTAGTTCATAGCAACTTTTACAGACTGGCCTCTAGGGTCTAATGCTAACAGACATTTTAGAAATAAGATTTTATTTTAAATGTGAAGTTATTTTAAAAAAGATTATATTATTAATTTGGTAATGTAACTTAAGAGAACTGCACACACGTTTGCTGCTTTTTATAAACAAAGTGTTCAAATGTCTCCTAACAACATGTAGCCTAGAGGAAAGGCAAGGCAGCTTTGTTTATATAGCACGTTTCATACACGGAGGCAATTCAAAGTGCTTTACTTAGGCAAACAGTAACAGCATTAAATCATTAAGCATTCACATCAGTTGGGACAAAGATAAAACATTGTTAAAATATATAAAATGAACAAATAGACAAAGTAGTTAGATGGTTAGAGCCACCAAATACTGCATATTTTGGCACCGTACCACTGAGTGATTTATAGACTAGCAGAAGCACTTTAACAATCTGTTCTGTGGGTAGGTCAAAGCCAGTGTAAGCATTTAAAAACAGGAACCTCTCCTGGTTTTGGTTAAAACTCTGACAGCAGCGTTCTGAATTAGCTGAAGTTGTCTAACAGTCTTTTTGGGAAGAGCAGACAAAAGACTGTTACAGTACTCCACCCTGCTGGAGCTCCATCCATTATCTGTACCACTTTTTCCTGAATAGGGTCACAGGGGGTTGGAGCCAGTCCCACTCGACATTGGGCGAGAGGTGGGATCCACCCTGGACAGGTCACCAGTGCATCACAGGACTGACATGTAGACAAACAACCACGCACACTCGCATTCACTCCTACGGGCAATTTAGAGTCGCCAGTCAACCTAAGCTGCATGTCTTTGGACTGTGGGAGGAAGCCAGAGCACCCAGAGAGAACTCACGCAGGCACAGGGAGAACATGCAAACTCCGCACAGAAAGGGCCTGGGCTCGAACCCTGAACCTTCTTGCTTTGGGGTGACAGCGCTAACCACCTGTACACCTCACGGGTCAAAATGAGGGCAGAGCAGATTTCTGCAGACCCCTCACATCCTGGATACGAACTCTTTGAACTCTTCCCCTCTGGACGGTGCTGCAGGTCATTGTACGCCTAAACAACCAGACACAAAGACAGTTTCTTCCCCCGGGCTGTCATATTGATGAATACCTAACTCATGACGGTATGACAGAACGTCAACCCTCAGTGCAACACCTTGTAAATATATCTTTGTATAGATGCAGTTTTTCAGATAGTTATAAACTGCGTATATATAATTCTATATTTTATAAGTACTTTATTTTTATTTTCCTAATGCACATTTCTTTTTCTTATTTGTTCTCTCAACCTTATCTTGTTTACTTGTTTGCTCGTTGCTTTACAGAAGAGCACTGTACATACACAGTGAGATCCACTGTACCAGTCGTGTTCCTTGTGTGTCCAACACACCTGACCAATAAAGCTGATTCTAACTGTAAATCTTGTCTGAGCATGAGACCTCTGAGTCTTGCTAGAGGAGTCCTACACTCTTTGGCAAAGCCTATACTGCAACAAACTCTGAGAAATTGGTATCGTTCCATTAATATGCAGTACAGCACTGGAAAAATAGGGCTCATTTAAACATTGCCGGATCAGTGCTTGAAAAGGCGATCACCCTCCAGCAATATGTGCAAGGTGTTTAGTTAAACCTGTAGTTCTTCCAGAATGCACCAGGTGGAGCCAACAGGCCAGACTGCAACTCTGTCCCTACACAATCATTTGCAGCACAATATTGCCCGTTTAACAAATGTGTTTTCTTATGTCTCTTTCAGGAAGTGTTGGAGCCCTGTGGTGGGACCCTGTCCAGAGGCTCCTGTTCTCAGGGGCCTCTGACCATAGCATCATTATGTGGGACATTGGGGGCCGCAAAGGACGGACACTGTTGTTGCAGGGACACCAGTAAGTCTTTGTGTCCTTGATACATGCATGGATGCTAAAATTGCTTTCCTTGTTCTGTGTTTGTCAGGGAGTTGGAGACTTGAAACTTGCACTTATGCTTCAGCTGCCTAATTTTCTTCAGTTCTTTTCACAGCTGTATCTGTCTCTCTGTGATACTTATCTCCACACTGTCTTGTCAAAGGCAGGTCTCAGTGGTGTCAGCAACAGCTGTACCCTGGCACTGACTCTGTTTTATCTCTACTACTCAGTTTTCATCCATATTTCACCACCTCCTAGTCTCCATCTCACCATCACAGGAGTCATCAGCAAAGCCCACTTACATTGATGCATGTTGAAATAAGCCTCTGTAGATTCTGCTGCAGGATTTACAGAGGTTTGCTTTTCAGACACCCATAAAAATGAGAGTTGTAATGCTCTTGTAGTTCTGACAGGCCCTTAATCCTGTTTTGACCCAATTTGTATCTCATTTCAAGTCTTTTTAATGTCTTTGTCACCCTTTTTTCTTAATACATCTGCTTGCCAGCTCATTAAAAAAAAATAATACAATTGGTGAAGTTGCTGTTTTCTCTTTTCTTTTCACACACATATGGTGCTAGCTAACATGGAGCGGCTGGACTGGGATTCGCAGCAATGCTAATATTGAATAGCATTTTAGTTTGAAATGCCCATCCTTATTTTTGATCTTCTAATATTTGGATTGTTGTGTTGATTCACCTTCTACTCTGACCCTAATGCTTGTGCTCCATGTATTAAAGCTGTATGAATCAGTGTTTGGCCACTAGGGGTCAGAAAAATGCAAAACAAGCTGACAGACGCACAGCCGTCACTGTATGACTTCTAAAGATATTACAGTGAACAGGGGTCGACAAGGGCAGTGAGAATGAACCAAACAGTCAAGTTATTGGTTGTAAAACCAAAACAGTTAGCTAAAAGGTGCTAAAATGCAGCAAGGAACTGCAGAGATGAGTGATAACTCTTTGTGGGCCACTACAAGTTACCTTTTTATATTACATAATTATTTCAGTCATTTTTAATATTGAAATATTGATCATAGCAGCTTTACATTGAAACCGTTTTCCCCCTTTGCTTTTGTCTTCACCAACACTTGCAGAAAAATGTTTTCTTAGTTACTAGGTGCTTCACTATGTTTACCAGCTAGTTGCAAACATAGCAGTGTAGTTCAGAGTTTTAGCTAGAAATGGCAAAAGTGTGCCTCTGTAAAACCAAGATTAGTGAACTTTTTAGTCTCTTAACAGAGCTGCCGAGTCAGTTGTTTACGATCTGTGGTTTCTTAGGGAAGATTTTGCTTAACACACCTTTAAATCAGGAGTTTGTTCCTTTTGAATATAATCAAAATGTCTTTCTTTTCAATTGTTCTCTGTTCTGTGACCTCTCAGCGAACGTGTTCAGGCCCTGCGTTACCTCCAACTGACGAGGCAGCTGGTGTCGTGCTCAGCGGACGGAGGCATCGCAGTGTGGAACATGGACACACAGAGAGAAGAGGTTGGCATCACTATGATACTGCTACAGTGTAGCACCCTTACCCTTACTTTCAAATTTGAATACTTTATGGGTTTTTCTGATACTGTACCTTTTCTCATAGATGTTAGTGTAAATGCACACAATAGTGCCTCACATTAAATTTAAATTTACTTTCTCCTATATTTTGAGCTTTGTTCTGGTTTCAAGACTCCTTGCACAGGTAAAGATATCTGCAGCACTTGAAGAGTTAACGTAGTAGGTTACTGTACGTTGTGTTGTTTCTGCATGTTTCATGGTAACCTTTAACTGTATGTGCAGGCGCCTCAGTGGTTAGACAGCGACTCGTGTCAGAAATGTGAGCAGCCTTTCTTCTGGAATATCAAGCAGATGTGGGACACAAAGACGCTGGGGCTCAGACAGGTAAGAGGGGCTGATCAGTGTCCTTAGCAGTTACCAGTCAGTTGTCAGTCACGTTAACATATGGGTGTGTTTCTACAGCACCACTGCAGGAAGTGTGGCAAGGCTGTGTGTGGAAAATGCAGTTCTAAGCGCTCCACATTTCCAATCATGGGCTTTGAGTTCCCTGTGCGGGTTTGTGATGCCTGCTTTGAAACGATTAAAGAAGAAGAGTGAGTAAATATTCCTAGCCAATTGTTTTATGTCATCGTTTCTCTGTGTTATACTTCTGTTATCAGTACTGATCAAATGTGGTCTGTGTGTGTGTGTGTGTGTGTGGTACAGTCGAACACCACTGGCTACGTTCCACGAGGGGAAACACAACATCGCCCACATGGACATGGACCCATCCAGAGGCCTGATGGTCACTTGTGGAAGCGACCGCATTGTTAAGGTCAACAACAGCTCTTTTATACCAGATAATTCATGCATATATTCAGGCTGTGTCAAACACGGACCTTTTGGAACAAATCCAATTACTTCTGCTACCTTAGATTTATACGCTGCAATCTTAAACACAAAGGATTAGAAAGATGGAATCTAATTTACTCAAGTTTAAGAAATAAAATCTGTATGTGGATCATGCACCATTGGTTAGCTGAGCTGGTAAACACATGACATCACCAGATTTTCTGGGTGTAGAGAATCAGATGATTTTTAACTGCCATTTGGAGCCAACTATAGGTTGACAGTATTATCCATCCAAAATGTACAACCCCAAATCAGAAAAAGTTGGGACGGTATGTAAAATTAAATATGAAAACAGTTATTTGTAAATCATATGTGTTCTAAATTACATAGGAAACTATACAGCAGCACTTTATTTGATATGACACCCCATCAGTTTTATTGGTTGTTTAAAAAAAACACTTCAATTCTGAAGCCTGCAACACATTCCAAAACATTTGGAGTGGTTGCATTTTAGGGCTGGTAATGAGGTAAAGCTATGAAATAATGATTTGATATGAACTTTTTCTGATTTGGGGGTTGTATAATCTTTTCAGTTTAAAGCACCTTTATTTATTTATTGTAATTAAGTCCAAAACACCACCTGTTCAGGTATACATAGGGTACTAGTTTCAAACATGACATCTTGGGTGATGTCTAACTTGGGTTGTTTCTTGTAGTGCTGACTTAGCACGCTTACATTTCCATTGGTTATTTCACATTTAATCTATATTTGTTTTCATTAGATGATTTGGCACAAATGTATCTATTAAACTGGGTCAAAGTTTGCAGGGCAACAATCTGAGAGAAACGGTTCCATCTAATTCAGAGTCCTTAAAGCAGCTTTGTATCAGCCCTCTGTTATTGGGTGTTTCTCTCCACAGATCTGGGATATGACGCAGGTGGTTGGCTGTAGCTTAGCAACAGGCTTCTCTCCTCGCTGATTGGCCCATCCCACTACACGGTCTGCCCTGCTCTGCCCACTCTTCTAGTGTCATGGAAACCCTTCTGTACAGTACATCTCCCACCACGCCTGGGCTTTTCAGCTACAACCAGGCCTGCTCTCGGTGAATGTGTGAGTGTCCATAGTGTAACCCCCCACATTCCTTTTGCTTCTCAAAACAAATTCCTTTACTTTCACTGTCACTCCTACATGAAAGTGTGTGTGACTTTTTTGCTCTGATTCAAAACAAAACCCTAAGCACAATGGTGTGTGTGTGTCTGTATAAGTGAGCATGTATCGTAATGTCGTCTCCTGTAGGAGGAATGATATTGATGTTAGTGTTTACATTCTGATGCTTCTTTTGACAGAGGTCTTTTTTTTTTTTTACACACTCTTGCACTGTAAAATTTGGTTTCATTACATTGCTGACCTGCCATTCCTGTAAAAACGTACACTAGCTTATTACTGTGGCCCTCTAACTGCACATTAGTCACTGTAACATGTACAAATACACCAACTCATGTGTATAATAACCCTGCCTCATGTGTATAGTAGATGGTTGCTTTAAATGACTCACTGACCTAAGTGATCAGCCTTTTCCTCTCTTTATCAGTTTTCCTGTCCTTCACCATTCTCCAGCTGGCCTTAAATCCCTCTCAGGTGGTTTCACATCAGTAGGTAGTCACAAGCTGCCCCCCCCCCCTTTGTGTCAGTCCACATTATTAATGTGTGGTCACTTGAGCATGATAAGTAACTCTTTCTTGATGGATAAATGAAATATCTCAAAGATCCCAAAAAAAAAATGTTTGCACGAATGACCCAGTCTCCACGTGAAGGATCGGACACTGGAACATGTTGTTATAGTAACGAAGGGCATCATCAGATGTAAACCAGTGGTTTTACCACATGACCTGATCTGTGTGACTTGTGATCATTTCGGCTTTTAACTTAATTTTGATCCAAACAAATTTTTAAAAAGCGCAACATCACCAGGTCCTAGATATTTATCACTCTTTGAAAAACTTGTGTTGTGTGGGTCGGTACCACACACACACACAGCACTGGTGGTGTAAATTTAAGACGCTAATGCCTCATGAGAATTAAATACATCTTTTTAAATATTTAAATTTATAAAACATTTTGTTTCCTCCCACCAGAAAGACACTGAGGTACTGGAGAGCTACTCTAAACTAAATGTAGCACTAAATGCTGGCGTGGCCAGATCAGGCTGTCTGTGTTCCTTTAAAAGCCTTTAGGAGAGAAGGACACGCTCACTGAGCCTTTCTAGATGTTTGCCAGTGCTCACGACTGTTCACACATGCTCATTCGCTCTAATGTACTCGCCTCATTGCTTTTTTTTTTCCTGCTCTGTTCAGAGCTCTCCTCTTTCCTTTGTGTCAAGGATGTGTCACAACACTCTCACCCCTGCACTGAATTGCACAGTTCGTGGTCTTGTCATCGACTTAAAACATGTTTCTAAGTTCAGATATGGGAGACTATGCTGGACTTCATGTAGCGTCTTTGTAAATAGTCGCTAATATTAGACTAATGCTTGCCTTATCGTTAGTGGGAATAAATGACCATTGTAATGTTGAAATGTTTGATTTCAAAATGTAGTCACATTCCAGTTTTTTGATCATGTAGTGGTTATTTATATTTCAAGTAAAGTATTTATCTGTTATCATTGTAAAAGGCTGTTTACTTTATGTACAGTACATGTAGTAATCTTTACTTCCTTGTACTAACAAACTAGAGCATGCTAAACTGTCTTTGACAGAGCACAGCCAGTCATGTTAGAGGAGCTGCACTGTCAGATCATGCAGTATTTTTCATCCTAACATGGACAGAGATTGGCTGGTGACAGCAGTGTTTGGCACACAGCCGCTGATGTTTCCCATTATCACCGACTTTACTGATGTTTAGATGTCACACAGTGTGTTGTTCTTGGGGTTGGACTGAAGGGTTCGTTCAGTAATGTTCATTATGTGCCAGCAGACGTGCAAGATTAGTTCACTCTCCTTTAATCCCCACCCACTCCGGGAAAAAAAACATCTGACTCTGTAGCTGCTAAATGCTCCATTGCGTTCACTAGCTAGCTGCTAGCTTTGTCTTCAGTGGTGGGCAGGTAGTGTGCAGTCGGTAGGCTTATCAGACCTTTTTTGCTTAACCCAGCCACCTGCTGCTGCAATAAAATATGAAGAGCAGAGTCTAGCTCGATCTAGCTCTTTAGCTGCTAAATATATTCGCCAGCTTGATGCTAACTTTGTCTGTCTACCATGTCCTACTGGGCAGGTGGTGTGCAGAGGGTTCATCAGAGGTTTTCTGGGTTAAAAACCACCTTCTGTTTCCTGGAAACCTAAGCAATTAAAGCAGTAAGATAAAACCAAAACAAGATGTAAAACACTTCATAGAGGTGAGGAAGTCTGTGTGGTTATCTGTCTCACTACAGAGTTGAACCACTGTGAATTCAAAATATTGATTAGTGCTACTTTAAAGTCTTTGCATGTTTTCAGTGTAGCTGAACCTGAGCCATATTAGAAACAGGCGACTTCAGCTACATTAACACTGGCAAACTCCTTTATCAGTCCAACCCCAAGTGTCATAACAAGCTTGTATCACAAAGTGTTCATAGGGATCTACAGGGTTATTGATGATGCAGCAGTACAATCAACAGCCTGAACTCTCCTTTCCTTTGTCAGTTGACTGGACATAACTTGTTCCAGTCATTACTTCTTATCGTGTGGTTCTAACAGATGGCATTTGGTGATAAAAGGCCTTCTGGCTCTGGACGCTTGGCTCCACAGCAGGTGGACAAGACGGTAAAGATGTGATGGATGGCAGGATTTGCCGTTTGCACAAGCAGCTAATGAAATAAATTTCCTTCACAGGAAGGAAGGAGTAGATTGTGTCATGTTGTGAACAGTTTAGTTCCTTGTCTTTTTTTTTTTGTCATCTTGAGTTGATCAAACACTAGAATGAATGTCATTCATGTTGAACACCTTAAAGATGACTCGCTATCCACACCATAGCCCATAATCACAAACTCTTTGAAGTTATTTCTGTACAGTTTGAAATTTTTTCTTCAGCTTGTAAAAAAAACAATAATGTTAATGTACATCTCAAAATATCTGTATTTTTTAAATACCTTTGTTCACTATACAGTACTGACTTTAGTCTCTGTGCCCTCAAACCAGGGCACAGAGAAAAGAAGTGATGCTTAATAAACCTATTCTGCTAAGTTTATTTGACTATTTTTCTTGACGAAATTCAGACGCAAAACCATCAGTAATTCTTTATTCATGTGTGCATTTGCAAGATAAACTCAAGCCAAAGTTACAGTCGGTAAAAAGCCTTTTTAACAGTGTTGGGTTTATAAGCACACAGGTTTTATTGCACATGTCAAGTGATGCTGCTGTGTTGTGTATTTAAGGCATTCTGCTCATAGAGAGAACCCTTCATCCCCAGCCTGAGCTCAACCCATACAGTACAGTAGCTACATTACAACATAGCAAGTTAATGAGTTACTTACAAAGCTGTTAGACACACATCACTTTGCACATTTGTTAGTCTACAAGTTGGAGATTGAACCCAGAGCTGGTGTGTGAGTGACTCTGGTCACATCAGATTCCCATCTGATTGACATCTTTCATTACGTCACAGGTGTGTGTGTGTGTGGTTTATGAAGGTGTTCTCTCAGGAAGATAACATCATTTGAAGAGTCATTGAAAGGTCGCAGCACTATCAAACACACTTCTGCAGTAAAATTTTAGTCCTTATAAAGTTGGGTTCACATATAAGAAAATGTGTTATATAAATGGTTATAAAGCATTTGTCCCATTTTAAATCGGTGACCACAGTTACCAGCCCTAATATAGCCTCAGATTTATTTTTCCTGGCATCTTCTGTCTCAGTGAGGCTGGAATGTCTTGGCCAAGTCCTCCAGCTGAGACATCAGCTTCTGTTCCTCCAGGGGAGAACTGTGGGTCCAGGCCAACGGCAGGGGGGGGGACACCCTCGAGCACAAACACACACACACTGATGTGAACATGACGTTTTAAGAGGTCTGTCTGCTGCTTCTAATGTTAAGGAACATTGATTTGTATAGAAGGCAAAGAGACATGGCCGTGCATGTGTACAAACATCAGCCTGCTAGTTTAAGAGGTGGTTGGTTGAAGAAAGACAAACACTGGATTAAATTTCAACTTGAGTGGCAACAGATTCAGCCAGACATCTCTTCTAATGCTGTAATGTGATTTAAACAGCTGCGTTTGTGCAGCTTTTGTGTAAGAAAATCAAAAGACTCTTGGAAGTTAAATTTAAGCCTTTCAAATAAATTCTAAGGTTTTCCTTGAGGAAACCCTGTTAGTTCAAGACCTGCAGATACACTGAAACACAGCTGTAGTGTAGGACTGTTTGTATGAAACAGCCGTGACCCCTGCCACTAAACATTTTCTATGTAACATAAACTTTCATCTGTGAAATAAAACCTCAAGACTGTCTCTGTTTTCTACCTCCATGTTTTCTCAACAAGAATGAACAAGCCAGAAATGGCAATTGAAACACTGCAGCCCAGTACAAGAGCATTTCAAGAAAATTTTACATAGCTTGCATTACTGTGATTCCACAAGGGTAGTTGTGGAACACAGTTGAAACACCAAATTTTATTTAACAAATAAAGAGAAAAACACTGACCCTGCCTGAACTAAAACAATCCAAATCACTGTATTACACAACTCTATCCTATGCAGTATTCTAACAGGTTGTATTACATGTGAAGCCATTATTGAAGGCTGTTTACACTGCAGCTGCTAAGTGTCTGAAATGTTCACTCATTCATGGGATAGAGTTTAGAAAAATAGAAAATACTTTTTCTAGTTTTTATCTAAACATCAACAAGAGTGGATCCCAGGTTTCCTGACTGCGTAGGAATACCAGACTCAAAATGTCAGTGGTGTCATGTTACAGTTTTAACACCTATAAAAGATAAAACCTTGGAGAAAAGCCAGAGAGCCTGTTTAGGGAGACACCTCACATATGTCAGAATATTAAGACTGACAGACACGATGTCTTCAGCTCAGTGTGGGCTCCATATCACTGTCACTTCATAACGGTGTTGCATAAATACAAGCAGCACGGTGGATCAACCTGCCTAAAATAAGAAACAGGGACGCCAGACATAACCGACTCATGTTACATCCCATTAAAAGATGAATGCAAGATGTTTGTGTCTCAGTAGAAATGTTTTCCTGTTAGGCTACAGCATCCCTCTTCAATGCCTTTGGTGGTGTTTAGCATGTTTGTGTGTGTGTTCATAGAGGCACTGTACTCTCTGGCAGTATCTGGCACCAAACGCAGCCCACTCCAGCTGCATGGACACAGGCCAAAATCTCTCTCTCTGTCTCTCTCTCTCTCTCACACACACACACACACACACACACACACACACACCCTATGTCCTTCATCCCACACAAACACATTACTTAGATCTCCCAATCTTACTGTTTTTTACTGTCTTGGAACAATACAGTTTCATTTTTGTCTCTCTTGTTGAACCATTGTTAACATACAAATCTCTAATACAGCCAATAAATGAGTAAATGAACAAAGATAATAAGATAAAGATTGTTTTATTTTTCCATCATACCCTGGTAGAAGCGTCCACTGGGGTTTGTGGTTGCGGCCTCAGAGACAGCCAACCACACTGCGGTGTCAGCCCCTTGCTCCGGGGTCCGCAGACTGTCCTTCATAGAGCGATGGAAGTCTGGCATGGCGTTGGCCACCGCTGGCACAGAGACAGATGGACAGAGAGAAACGAGCCAGTTAGAAAAAAGGTGCTATTTTTAATAAAGAATAGTTTTGTGGTGGCAGTTAATTCTTAGTGTTCGTGAAGGGCGGCACCTGGAGTGTCCACCCAGCCAGGATGCATGACGGAGAAGTGTATGTTCGTGTGAGTCTTTGCCAGCTGCTCTGTCATCACCACCTGCTGCCTCTGGAGCAAAAACACACACACACACACAGACAAGCCTCAAAGAGATGCTGCGATGAGAATGTCAGGGTTTTGACTACAAGCAGGGGAAGCTCACATATCTTTGACATGTCAGTATCAGAGACCAAATACTGAAATGCTAAACATCTTAATTTATCAGCATAAAACACATGGAATAGACACAGATTTCAGGCATCCAGACTCTAGTGTCATTTGATCAATCACAGTCCTCCGTGACTTAGCTTTTGCAGGCTGATAGTTGTGTTTTCTACTGACAACATCTGTTTGCTCTACCGGGACAACTTTCATGCAGATTTCTGTTTTTATTGTCTGATTTATGAATTATGTAAGGGAATAAAAAAGATCCAACTCAGCTGCAATATCTATGTACAGTTAACTAGACATATCTGCTCTGTGTCAGGTTTTTGGTAAATGTAAATTGACTGCACTTGTATGGCACTTTTCTACCTTATCTGGACAAAGTGCTTTACAAATTCACCCATTCACACACTCACACACTGATGGCAGCAGAGATGTCTATAATACAATTTAAAGCCTTGTCAAATACTTAAGGATCCTGAAAGTCTGTGATACTTGTTGTGTTGTTTTACCATTGATCACCAGGTTCAGGACCAGGTCTTACTTTGTGCTGGGCGTAGACCATAGTGCCGTCATAGCGCCCTCTCTCAGACTGCAGATTTCCTATCCTGAGCTTCTGCACCAACATTCCCCCCGATGACATTGTGATCTGAACATGGAGGTAAGAAACAGAAGGAGCTGATCATTCTCGCTGTATACAGTAATGTAGTAATGTAATGTACCTACGGTACGCACAGTTATTCAGATACTAAATACAGTAAGTACGACTTTGAGGTGCTTGTGCTTTAAGTTACACTGATCCTTCTGTGTTGATGGTTCACATTCATGTTTGTAAGCGACATGTATCGGTATCGAGCTCAATACTAAACTGCTCTGTATGCTGAAACTCAAAGGTGAGTCATGCATGGGCAGATCCAGGGGGTGGCCATGGGTGGCACAGGCCAACCCCAGAGTCTGATTGGCCACCCCTGCCAGTGTCCAAATGTGATGCTTGTAAATGAATGTCATCTTCGACTTTTTCCCTTTAGGGGTCGCCACAGCAAATTGTCACACTTACGATTCGCATGTTGACATTTGGCACATGTTTTATGCCGGACACAACCCTGACTCGAACCTGGGCCGCAGCGGCGAGAGCGCTACACCCTAACCTAGTCTATCAGGGAACCCCGCTTGTCAGTATTAAATGAAAGATGAAAAACTATGACAAATGATGGCCTTACATACAACCTTCATTTTTCTGGTGCTTTATAAATGTTACTGGTCAAATTAGTTTTATTTTATATCATGCATAGAGCATGATATTTCCATTCATTTCTCTGACTAAATGCTATTAGTAAACACAGAGTGCAGCCAAAGTTAGCTACGGAAAGCACTGTGTGCACCATTTAGACACAAAATAAACAATTTGATTCTTAATCATGTATGGCTTATTATTTCATAGAACTAGGAGTTAAATTTACTTTTACATGTATTTCAAATGTGCCACCCATCTCCAAGTCTGTGCCCCAGCCTGGCCACCTCATCCACAATTGTCTAGATCCGCCCCTGGAGTCATGTGAGTACAACAGTAACAACAATGTCACTTGTGTGACAGTCAAAATGCGCATTGCCCTGAAAAACTGCTCAGTTGCAACATGTTCTCTCCACCTTGATCAGAAGCTTCTTCATAAATGTTAAACAACAGTAAAATGTCGCCATCCCCTCACTGACCCTCACACGTGTTGCTGCTCTCCTCCCTGTTTATTTTTACCAGTCTGTGAGGGGCCGACACTGAATGATGTTGGATTCTGCTCTCATTCCCTTGGATAAAAAAAAAAAAAAAATCTGATTTGAGCCACTTAAGTGTGTAGTGTGAACACAGCATTAGACTCACCACTCTGGGATCTGCACTCTTCTCCAGGAGGGGAATGAGACTCTTGGTGAGAATGTAAACCCCTAGGATGGAAAAACAACACTTTTCACAACTGTCTCTCCTTTTTACCATTTTCCACACACCTCACCTCTGATGTCTGACTCACCAAGAACATTAACGGCAAAGCTCTTCTCCAGCCCCTCGGCGTTCACCTCCCTCTGACTCATCATGGCACCTGCGTTATTGATCTGTACAGGTTACAACAGATGAGACACGTCCTTACTTGTATTGATCAGAAATGCATCAAAAAATGTGAGAGAAGAAACGTGAGGGGATGGAGATAATATTCTGATAACACATCACCATGTAATTTTATATTATGAATATCACTCACCAGTACATTGAGAGCCTTGTACTTCCTTTTAAAGGACTCAGCAAACTCCCAGACCTTCTTGGTCTCAGATAGATCCAGGATGTGGACATAGATTTCCTGCAATGACAGCAGCCATTTAGAATAATGAATAATGTCACGTCCGGGGAACCAGAGGCAATTTGAAGGTTGTCTGCTCCCATGTTTTGTTTTGTTTTATAATCTTTTGGGAGGTGACTCATACAGTACTTTATTTCCTGTCTCCTTGATAATATCAGCCCTCGCCTCCTCAGTCTTGTCCTTGTTCCTACAAATCATGTGGACAGTTCCACCTGTGACAAAGACAGAATAAACATAAAATAAATAATAATAAATACAATCAATTTGGGTTTAATTGGAATCTTTCAGTATGTATTTATGTTATATTAAAATACTAAAACACCCAAATTAAATGTACAGTATAGATAGTTTACATATACTACTAAGACTACTGCTACAACTCCTGATAATAACGCTAGTCACTGAGATGAGTTCCTGTCAGTTGGGGCAGAAGCAGTGGTACCTCTCTTAGCGATAGCCATGGCGGCGGCTTTCCCAATGCCACTGTTGGCTCCTGTTATCATAAAGGAGCGTCCGGCCACGGAAACCTCCAGGTCCTTCTCCACAAATTGCTTGGAGGCTGACAGGAAGGCATTCCCG